ATAGTAGTTCCCAATTTAATCAAGACACAATGTACTCTTTAAAAAAAAATAAGCTTCACACCTCTGGTGACATAACAAAAGGTATGGAGTACCAGCTTTCCATGATATCTTGAAAAGTTTGGAATTTGATTCCATAGAGAAAAATATGTTTAAAAAGTGTTATTTAGCTTTTCTCTGCATTTATATATCTATTATGTTTCAAAATCTACAGTAAATAGTGAAAAATAAAGGAAAAGAATGTGTCAGGAGCCTGGAAGTCGGCCATTTTCTATTTCCTCATATGCCTCTTGTGATGTCATCAAGCACAAATTGGAGTTAGCATTTTGCTTCCTCAGTGTCCTTTAAATAAAAAGACGCTTTTTGTAAAATCTTGAAGTTAGAATCCACTCTATATTACCGAGCAATGTTTTTACATCATTTGGTGAAAACAAATATATCTGTTATATTTCACGCTTTAAGCCGAAGGTGTGAACTGCTGTGTGTTGCTGTTTGCTATCAGTTACATTCTTTGTTTAGCTAAAAAAATAAATAATTGAAGTGTCACTTTGTGGCTTTGCAGGCTGACTTTATAGTGAACTTTTGCTCTACTAGTTGTTTCCACAGGAGTCGTTTCTCTTGCAAAGTTTTCTAGATGCGCCGCTGCAGGGAGTTTTCTCTCAGTGCAAAGTTTTCCTGGATCTTGTTGCGTGAGCTCCTGGTGTGAAGACAGTCACATTTTAAATGACAGAGAGCAGAAAAGTCCTGGGGATTTGAACCTTCCCCCTGTTTTAGCCTCTGGCTGGAGCTGACACATGTTTCTGTGATGGAAGGAAACTGTGCCTCCCCCCTGCCCTCCCTTTCCTCTCCCTCCCTGTGGACGGGTGAGACCACAAATATGAGCAAGGAAGAGTCCAGACAAGAAGAGTGGGGCAGTTTTTAGAACCCACTGATTGCATAATCAGCTTCCCTGCTGCAGGAAAACCGTGTCAGAGCGAAACTGTAGGTTCATTTTGACTTGAAATAACGTAAAACACGCAGGATTTGCTGTAGTGTGACCTTTTCCTTCTTTTTTTAACTCCTCTGTTGTGTATTTTTCTGCTCTGTCTCAGAGCCCAGACTGCAGGAATGTAGTTCTCATGCACAACAGCAGAGCAACACTGCCCCCCAGAGGTAATATATGGAACTGACAAAGAGGGAGCTGGTGGCTTTTTGCTCTGAAGACTGAAACGTCGCTCTGTTGTTTACAAACAGTTCAAGGTCAGGCAGATTGGATGGAGAGCATCTGTCAAAATTATATATCAAAACTCATGGTGCAAATTCTGAGTTTTATCAAAGTCTGGGCTTTGACTGAGCCATTCTCAGTGTTTTAGTCCTGAAACCTTCAGCTGTCTCCCTGGTCCAAAGAACTTGCATGGAAGCAGAATGAGCTCATCCGCATGCAGTCGGGTTCTTTCCAAGTCCTGCTAATGATCTACTTTGATCGAGGTGTGATGAATCTGAGACGCATCTAAAAATTACAGAACTCTCAAGGACTGGAGACATTTTTTATTTTTATAGCAGCGCGTCTGGAATCAAACTCTTCCACCTTCCCTGCCGCCATATTCTGCATAACTGTTGGTCCTGCTGGGCAAGAAAAAATCTCATTTTGGTCTCACCTAACCAGAACGCCTTCATTCTCAGGCTTGCCACCTTGTGGCAAAATGCAAACAGAACAAAACTTATGAAATAAATTATAATTGTTTTATTGAATGTAACATTTTCCCTTTGAGAAGATATAAACTTGCAACGGAAAATTTGTGCCATAAGTGGCCCCTAGACCGCAAAAACAATCGTATGGAGTGCTGCAAGAGGCGCGTGCGCCACCTTTTGGACACCCCTGGTCTAAATTATTTAACAAAATGGTGAATGTTGGTGATTGTAGGGTATTATAAGTATTTAGCACAATCAATTTCATGAAAATATCAAACTGTTCTCATTCTGTGTTTGGAGTCGTATCAATTAAAAAAAAATAAGAACCACAGAAGAAAAACTGCAGAGCTGGCAGCAGAGGATGGGGCTCTAAATGGCAGATATTTCAGTCAGGAGGCCATAAAAAATAACCCAGTGCCACACATATGACCAGAAATTGCTGGTTTTTGCAACACATATATTGTCATAATTCAAGGAGTGGTTGTACAATGTCTTTTTACGACAGGACTGAAAATACGCACAAGAACTGAACAGTTTGGTTCAAGAAAACTAAAAAAAATAGCAACCAGGGGAAAAACAAGTGACATAAGAGGCTGGAATCTACTACTACCAACCCTAAAATTAGTCTGAGGGTTGCCCCGGGACTAGAAGCTGTGGACAATAGTTTAATGTGGAGGACAGAAATCCCTCGAACATGTCCGCTGAAGAAACCGCGCGGAACATCGCACAGCTCGGTTTTATGGAGCGGGAACGTCAGGCAGCCGATTCCAAAACATTACATCAGTTTTATTGTAGCAGGGAACGAGAGGAGAGAGACGAGAGACAGACAGAGAGACGGAGAGACAGACAGACAGGAGAGACCAGAGACAGACAGACAGGAGAGACAGACAGAGAGACAGACAGGAGAGACAGACAGACAGAGAGACAGACAGACAGAGACAGTCAGACAGGAGAGATGAGAGAGACAGACAGAGAGACAGACAGACAGAGAGACAGACAGACAGACAGAGAGACAGTCAGACAGGAGAGATGAGAGACAGACAGACAGGAGAGACAGACAGACAGGAGAGAGAGACAGACAGAGACAGACAGACAGACAGAGAGACAGACAGAGAGAGACAGACAGACAGGAGAGACAGACAGACAGAGAGAGACAGACAGACAGGAGAGACAGACAGACAGACATCCATTGTTTCTGCCTCTTAATTACATGAACAGTGAAACTAGACGGAAGAGGTTGCTGTAAATTCAGCCTCAGCTCCTACAAACCGGCTGGAGGAGCCTGAACGCTGGTGCCATGTTGACCCGCTCCGCTTCAGGGCCGGCCAAAGACCTTTTGGGGCCCTGAGCGTCTTTTACTCGAGGCCCCCTTATCCCAGCACCAGATGCTTCATCATTCCTGAGCTGCTCTTCCAGTATGTATGTAAATTACCAGTTAGCTTTAGCATAATTTGTAATTAGCCTAACATACCGGTGTCACCATGGTTACTGATTTTAACCATGCTTACAGGAGCAGCTAACAAAAAATATAATTTGAATTTTGATGGTATTTTGGTATTTGTAACTACTTGAAAGTAACCTGATCAGAAAAACAGAATTTATAGTAAACAAGTTAAGAAGTTTAATATCTTATATTTTAGAGTTTAGTTTGATAAATTTTTCATTCTTTAGAGAAGATCCAGTTTCATCACAACAAAAGGAACAAATTAATTAAAAATCTGATTTTAATAAGACATAAATAAAACACCTTGATTGATGGAATAAAACATAAATCCAGCAAAAACAGGTAAAACTTTTTAAAATAGTCTAAATTCTTACAGTTCTGAACCCGTTGCCTGGAACCCGCGCAGCAGATCCAGAACCAGCTCCGCCCTGCGGCGCCACAGCGTCAGCCGGGCGTGCTCTGCGCCGCAGCGGAACTGCGGCAGCTCAGGCAGGCGGTCCAGAGCCTCCTGGGAGGCCAGGAGTTTGGCCCGGGCCTGCGTCTGGATCCGACCCACCTGGTCCGGATCCACAGCCTGGTTCTGACTCAAACGGGCCAGGAGGGAACGCAGGTGTCGGTGCAGCAGCTGCACCCACTGCAGGGGCTCGGCCCAAAGGTTCAGCTCGCCCTTCTCAAACAGAAAGTCCTCTTCATCCTGGTCACAGCAGAACGGGCCAGAGTTAACCGGACCGGACTTCAGAACCAGATTACGGATTTAAGGCGGAGTCGATTTATCGAGCCCGGCTAAGAAAAAAAAAAAACCCATAATATTACAAGAAAACGTGCAAATTCATTCAACAATGAAGTCATAATATTACCAAAAAAAGTCAGATTATGAGAATAAAGTCATTATATTTGATATTTGATGGATGGACGGACGGACGGATCCACCCTTGCTGCAACAGATTGCTGCAACAGATTGCTGCAACAAATTGCTGCGAGTTTATTGCATTGCATAAAGACAAACCTGAGATCTGGTCCAGCTTTAATAGAAATGGTCACTAATAATTATCTACATTTTATTTTATTATAGTCAAGTAAATAGTAACAGTGTGGTAACTTTGGGTTAAATGTAGATTTTTTTTCAACATAATCTTTATTATGTCCTGCTATATAAAGCCTTAAAATGGAAACAGGGTGTACTTTCTTTTTATTATTATTGTAGATTTAAACATCTTCGACCTTGACTTCTATCTTTGTGAAAAGCCCAAATAAGCGACGGAGAGCAGAAACCTTGGTGACTAACAACACCAAGACTGTTTAGTCTGCTAATGAGAGCAGAACTAAACAAGAGAAATGAGCTAGAACATTTTGGTTTTCTCCTATTTAAACATATTAAAAACATATAAAATCAGCTTAATTTAAACAAAAACCAAATCTGATGGAACCAGATATTATTTCCAAAGGCCTTCATGACAATAATGAGACAGAAACATGTTATGATAAGCGATCAACATGGCCTATCACAACATAAGCATTTTATATCAGTCAATATTAATAAATATTGATTTTTTTTTGTTTTAAAAATCTAAAATCCAACCAAACAGGGGGTGAGATGTTTCTTGTGTCATCCAGTCTTCACTTCATGTCATTGTTTTTTATTCTTTAGCAGTTAGGAGGAAAAACATGAAACTGCTGCTGCGCTAGTTACTCAACAGGTTGTTGCTAGGTAACCATAGAACAGGTGAGTTGCTAGGCAACAAAAGAATGAGCGAGTTAGCAATTAGCGAGAGCCTGAGCAGTCAAAGTTCAGTTAATATGGTGACTATTAAAGATTCTATCATAAGTATCATCTATTGCTGTTGATCACATCTATCGCAATAATTATTGTTATTGATTTATTGTCCAGAAAGATCACCATAAAACCGAAGGTCTCACCAGACAGGAAGCTTCCTCTGCCTCGTCTTCATCGCCGCCATCCTCTTCTCCCATCAGCCACTGGGTGAGAGCGAGGAGCCCGGCTCCCAGCTGCCCCCACAGCTCAAACATCCCACACAGGAGCCCCACACCCAGGTCCAGGGCTGCTGGCGGACACACGGACACGCCGGCAACATCTGAGGACAAAACAAACCGACGAAGCTGAAGACACTGTGAAATTAGAAAATGTTCGGTTTTTACAAAACATTTATTGGATGTGCCTGCTTGAAAGAGGAAAGATCAACAATCCAAACCTTTCTGAACGGTTGAGTTCTGATATCTTTCCACCAGAACCAGTTCAGATGGAACCAGTTTAATGCTTGGCTCAAATGGAACATTTTTAAGGTATTTTCCCAGCTTATGGTCTGGTAGACTTGGCTCCATTGGGAACCAAAATGGCTGCTGCAGTCCGCTTTCACAATTCACTGTGTCATTTGATCCACACCAGAGTTCACTTCAACCGAACCGAGACCTACGTTTCTAGACGGACCAGATTTTGCTTTTTTCCGTCCGCATTAGAGTTTAATTGCGGGTTCACACATCACCAAACAAAACAGACTTTCTTGGCAAACAAACTAGAGTTCGATTAAAGCAAACTAACCATGTTTAGGGGAAAGGCGTCCTAAAGACCATACAGAGACCACCAACGTTCAGAATACCCCGCAAAACATCAAGATCCAACATGGCCGACTAGACAAGAAGCCATCCTGATAGTCAATGTTCATCACCTGTTATCCGTCATAATTCCTACATTTGGCTGAACAGCAGCTAGAAAAAGATTTTCTAGATCTCTGCTTCCCATTTCCAATACCACCATCAATCCCAGACGTTCCCTTTCTCTGCGTGTTATTCCACTTTATTTAGAGTGTGGTTGTGTGGCTCATTCAGATGATTGAGTTAAACCCTCAGCAGGCCATCAAGTTCAGCACCAGCCTGTTAATGATCCATTCATATGAATCAGGCATGTTTTAAGTGGAGAAACATGTAAAACACGCAGGGCGGTGAGTTCCGAGAACCAGGATATAGAAACCCAGTTCTAATGTTTGCTGGTTAATAAATAAACTGTAATTAGAGAACATCTGGGGGACCTTGACAGAAACGTTACGGCGTAATGAGTCCAATCTGAAGCTAACGAGGCTAAACACACTTCTGCGTCTCTGCAAGGCAGCCATTACACTCCGACGGACGGAGTAGAAGAAGCCGAGGCATAAAACTGGGACTTGTTCTCACTGTGAGTCAAGCAGGGCTGACTCTGCAGTCCAAACTTGGTGTTAATGTGCATGCGTGTTTTCTTTAAGGCTTGGACGGCCTTCCGAGAAACAGAACTATAACTCATATAACCAGCCATCATGAGGGGTGTGTGAGACGAGTCAGAAATACTCTGCAGCGGCGTGCAGGTCATCTCCAGGATTGAGGCTCCGCTTATGAGTTTATGAAGATGCCAATCTTACAGATTTCTACTTATTTGTCACAAATGGTTCAGGTCATCACTTCCTGCTTTCGGAGCGGTTTCTGGTCCAGAACCGTGCCAGAGTTCACTTCAACCGAACCGAGGTTCCTGGATTCTACAATCTAAGGTCATCTCAGTGATTTCTTGAGACTATTTTTCAGATGTTCCATCAAGAAATGCTTGATTAATTAGTTTAAATAAACAAAATGTGTTAAAGGTGACCTATTGTGCTTCCTTGTACAGGTTACTATACATCTATGAGTTACACAAAACATTTTCATTACATTTTTGTAAAAATCATTCTTAGATAATGAGATGTTTGCCTGCTCAGGTCTGTCTACAGGCTGTTATTGGCTTTCTTGTCACTTAAAATCCAAATCATCTGCTGCTGGCCAAGCCCCTAAACTCAACACTGACATGTGAAAATGGCTGCAGACAGATGCAATTATACCACCGTACATCTTTGAAAAGCAGAAGTAGAGCCTCATGCACATCCAACAAGAACAGAGCAAGTGGTTTCTGGATGGCAAGACGGCAACAACAAAACACTTGTCTTTAACAGCAGCCATTGTACCGGACATGCAGCAGTAAAACCAGCTGCCCAGCTCCGCTCTTGATGCTAGGCAGCAGCTGAATGTGGATTAACAACCGGGAGATTTTTGAAACGGCTCGTTTTCCAGACACAAAAAATATAAACTTTTTGCCAAAGAAAATGAAGTATTTTTTATTAGTCCTTCAGCTGTTTACAGAAGCAGTAGAGACACTTCTGGAAACATAAAAACATACAAAAAGTAAATTTTGCATAATTAAATAAAAAGGCTTTTGAAGACGGTCATATTGATACATATATATCTAAATACAGGAATGTGAGGAAACAGAAGCAAGCAGGGAAACAAAGCAGCTCGCTCATACTTGTGTGTGTGTGTGTGTGTGTGTGTGTGTGTTGTGTGTCTGTGTGTGTGTGTGTGTGTGTGTGTGTTGTTTTCCCGCCACGGCCTCTCTCACCACAGCTGTCACCTGACAGACTTCAAAAGGCTTTGGGAGCCACTAGCCAAAACACTAGCACTGTGGGAATTGGGGTGAGGTGGAGGTGTACGATCCTCCGCCCTCGCCACCGGCACACTAATGGTTAAAAACACACAAACAGGTCCGGGGCGGCGAGCCCAGAGAGCTTTTCATGTCTGCAGAGGGGGCGTAAAATCGGAGCAGAGCCTGAAGTCTGAGCGCGGAGGGAAAGCCGCGCTACGGCTCGTTGATTGTAGAGTATTAGAGGAGATTTAAGAGTTTAGGAGCCTGAGTGACAAATTCCTTTCTTTCCCCAGAAGCCCTGCCTCTGAAGGTCGGCCTCAGCGCTCCCCGCCTTCCCAACGTTCAGGGATAAAACAGGAAATTTTAGCTGCGTGCCGTTTATCATCTTCCTGACAAAGGTTTCACACAACGCTTGACTTGATTCTCCCTCCTGCAGCTTCTGCAGCCAAACGCCTCCTTTCTCAAGGGGATAGTCTTTCCCCTGGCTGGCAGTGTGTGTGTGTGTGTGTGTGTGTGTGTGTGTGTGTGTGTGTGTGTGTGTGTGTGTGTGTGTGTGTGTGTGTGTGTGTGTGTGTGTGTGTGTGTGTGGAGATTCTGCTTCGATCACATCAGTTGGTGGATGAATGGAGGGATTCTGGGTGAGGTAGAGTCACCGACTGGTTGAGGTTTTCTCATTTTTGGTGTTTCCTTAAAGGGGGTTTGCGGATTAATGTTTAAAATGTGAATCTTAGATTATATTATATGCTGGATTATAATCAGAAACAGTCACAAAACAGAAGCACAGATTATTATGTTACAGGAATTACCACACATTTAAAGTATTAATATCATGGATAGATTTGAGTTCTTTAAAAATAATGAGGAGGGAAAAATACTTTGGCACCATTTAATGTTCTGTTCAGAAAAACAGGAAGTGTTGACCTATATTAACTTGTTAATTTTTGATTATTTACTTTTTGAGTTATCAAATAAGGTTAAAATAAAATTCAATGGAAAAATTTGTAATTTGGAAAATAATAAAATGGATTTCATCAAGCCTTCTTTAAGCTGCAATATCATTTATGCCAACATATTCTCTGATTAGCATTTCCACAGCATGATTCTGCCACCGCCATGCTTCTCCAGGTGCAGTAAAATACATAGTTTGTAACTGTAATATTACCAAATGTGTAAAAACCCAAGGATTATGCATAGTTTTTATAGAAATGCTGAATTTTACAACTATTCAATTCGTATTCAGTCAGTTCAAAAGTCACCTGCACTCTTTAGGATACAAGCATACACTGCAAAAATACAAAAAGTATTTCTGATTGAGATATTTCACGAGCAAATATCTTAAGACACTTGAAATAAGATGAAACTAGCTTACAAGCCACATTTCAGTATTACATAGGAGCTTATTTTAGGTAAATAATTTCTTAATATTGCTGAAAAATACTTTCACCAGTAGATTATTTCACTTGTAACATTTTATAAGTGAATATAATACATAAGCTGCCTATTTTAATCAATATCCAAGAGTTATTTACCTAAAATAAGCTCCTATGTTGCTGAAAAGTTACTTGCGAGTTAGTTTCGTTGTATTATTTCAAGCGTCTTAAGATATTTGCAGTAGAAACTCAATAAAAAATAGTAGGCTTTGTGTTTTGCAGTGCAGAAAAGGTGAGAGCAGCAGCCTTTTCTCTTCAAACAAGCCATCGCACCCTTGGCGCGCTGAGCTGGAGCCGAGACTCCAGGAAGCAGAGGTGTGAGATAGAGAAAGACGTGTGAAATAAAAACACGCACTTTACAACCCCAACTTCCTCTGCTAGATGATGGGAAAGGACAGACTAGACCAGAGACCAAGGGCAACAACAGCAACAGGAAACATGGCAACACAAAGTGCTAAAGCTGCATTAGCATAAAAGTGACGGTCTGGGAATATCCTGGAAGCTCCTGATTTGCAGCGTTTAAGCATCAATCTCAGTCTGAGGTGAAAGGAACGAAAGGATCACATGAAAGTAAAAGGCTGACTCAGCAGGAGGCCAACGGCCTGCAGACCGAAAACTCACCATGATTTGCAGTCGTTCACCGCTAGACACGATTTACACATCAAGGATCCAGTTCTGGAAACCTGAAGTTACATCTTCTGCATTAGGAGCTTAAACCGAATAAATGATGGAAGGAAAGTGATGAAAGAATCAGCGAATAAAATTATATTTGTAGCTTAATGTGATAAATCAAATTTGAACAAAGTTTATTGGTCTCTAGAAATGCTTTCAAAGTCTTGCCAAGGACTTTGGTCCAGTTTATAGTGTAAATATCTTATTATGCTTATAAAAGACAAAACTAACTTACAAGTAACTTTTCAACAAGATAAGGGAGCTTGTTCTGAGTAAATAATTCCCCAATATTGATAAAAAAGTTCTAGTTCCACTGGTAAATTATTTACTCTTAAAACATTTTCCCATGTTTTAGTGGAGCTAATGATTTTTTACATAAACAAACTCTTATATTTTGATTAAAAGTTACTTGTAAGTTAGTTTTGTCTTATTTCACACGTACCAAGAGATTTTCACAGAAACTA